CTCCTAAGGTGTGGGGAGCCCTGATTTCTTAGGGTGGCCCTGAGGCTTAATTAAATAATGTCTGGAAATAGAAGTGTCAGGGTGGGCCTCTGCTTGAACACATTCCTTATGAGACAGATCCTTCCGTTAGAGGTTTCTACCACTTGCCAGGTAGGATTCCATTAAAGCAAGAGGAAAGGGGTCGCAGTAGATTTGGGAAGACGCAGAGCATACTCCAGGTGACTCTTCCCGCCTCTGAGGGCAGAGCTGGGGGCCAGAGGTAGCAAACAGGGTCCAGCACTGCCTATGACCTGAGCACAGACACGTAAATATTCACAGGTCCTTCAATCTCCCTGTAATGTGTTATTTTCTAGGTGTCAATATGGGGCGAAGCACGCCCCGTACATTATCATATGGACTCGGGGATGTCCCTCTCACAGGAGGCGGGTCAGAGCGAGTTAAGTGGCTTGTTCAGTAGCATCTGCGTTACAAAGGGTACTCTGAGGTCAGGGCCCTGGCCAGCGAGCTTACACTGGGCTGGCGGGGAAGACAGCTTTCCTCACCTGGCTGGCATTAAGGGTTGTCCGTGTGACCTCACAGCCTTTCGGAACAAGGCTTGGTAGAAATTAATAATACAGTAACGTTAGCACCGCTTCGTCCCGCAGGGTGTTTCCGCCCAGTCGCCCTTTGCTTCCCACGCTTTGTGCATACACTCCCGACACATCTGGACGCTGAGGCCCACACCTCTCACCAGCCCTGCCCCCCCACCTCCATCTTCCACAGCTTCTGCCTCCTCAGGAAGGCTCCCCATGAGGAACCCTCCCCCTCCCTCGGCCTGGGTGTGGCGCCCCAGCCTCCTTCCGACCATCAACCCCTCCCCAGGATTCTTCTCTGTGGACTATACGGCCCCCAGTTACGTGTGTTCTGTTGCAGTTGCTCGCACAGGCCCTCCGGTGTGGGCTTCTGAGGGGCCGGAGTGACGTTATGGTGACAGATGGCACACTGCCCGGGGTTCTTGGGCAGGGAGTGAGGACCTCAGAGAAGGGCGACTGTGGGTGCGCAGCCCCGCTCCGGGCCTCCCGCCTGCTCTGCCGCACCCGCAGGGTGGCCTCGGTTCCCCTGCTGGCCCTTCACCTTCAAAGGGAAGGACTCAGTTCTTCCAGCGCTCCTCACCCCCGGGGCTCTGCAGACACGGGCCCTGAATCACTCTCGGCCAAAAATGTCAGCTACGGGTCTCCAGATACCGGTTGAGAGATGGGAAGGCGATGGAAATTTGAAAAGTGCATTCTCGTGGTTTAAGGTATCAAACCTGAGCTCCTGTAAGTTTACTTCCTAACACTACCTGCCCTGCCTGTCAAAACACGTCACACCCCAAGGTGACTTTCACAAACGTCCTGTCTGCCCTAGGACCTGCCCGGTGCCCCTCTCAGCTCCCTGGCCTGGCTGGTTCCTGCCTCGGGGCAGTTGCTGTTGTTGGTCACTCAGATTCCCGTTGTCCCCCGACTAAGCTTCGCAAAGGTAGGACGGTTTCCTTGTAACTCCCCAGGGCTTGCAAGCTGATCAGCACCCAGGAGTAAATCACTGCTGACCCGGGTCGACTCCCTGCTTAAACTGCTCAGTGGACGGGGCTGCAGGTCTCCCTCACTCCCTCTCTGCTCCTTCCTGTCCTCGCCTGTCATCACAGAGGGACCTGGGAGAGAGGGCAACACACGGGAGAGACTGAGGGCGAGCCAGTCCGTTTCGCACTGAGTTTAGTTAGGGGGTTGTAGTCGCTCTAAGACCCCGAGACCGCGGGATACTGTGCAGAGCTGGGGCTCAAAGTGGGTCGGGCCGCAGCAAAACAGGATCCCGGAGGCGGCTGGGACCAGGACCAGGGTACCAGGAAGGCTGGTGAAATTCACATCTAAGGTACCAAGGTCCACGTCTTCCTTTTGGCAAACAAACGTACGTGGTTATGTAATCTTTTACCCTTAGAGGAGGCTGGGTAAAGGGCCTGTGGGAACACTATGTATTATCTTTGCAACTTTTCTGTAAATCTAAAATTATTCCAGAATAGAGAGTTTATTTTAGAAAAAGTGGGCCAGAGTGCAAATTTTAGTCTGGCTAGCAGTCTCTGAGCGCAGGAACACTCCCACATCTAGCTACAGCCCAACGACTTGTAGAAAATGAGAACGGGGACTGCAGGGGAGCTTAGAGAGGCTTCTGTAGACCGTCTGTGAAAGGCAGCAGCGAAGACTGAAATAAAACAAAGGAAAAGCAGACCTGGCCGCGCCGGGGTGGGGCGAGGGGAGGCAGGGTCGTTAAAAGGCGCAGCCCGAGGGCCACTGGGGAGCGTCGGCCAGCGCGGAGGCCCTGGGGCTCGGAGGCGGGATCCCGCCTCCTGTTTTAGCTCTGACTTCAGCATGTCCCTGGGCCTTCGTTTGCTCACCTTTAAAATGGCCCCACCCAACTCACAGACATATGTAAAATACGTCTTCACACAATTCAAGTTGTTCGGTGTCTCTAAATCGTGTCGTTTTTGCTCAGCAGTGGAAAAGCGCCTCACCCACGGGCTGTTACCATCAAAACCCTCGAGCCGGCAGGTCTGATTCTGCTCGAGCGTTTTCACTTTGCACTTGGCGAGGCTCTGCTTCCTCTTACAAGATCTCCGTGCCAGAGCCAAAGCCATTTGCCTTCTAAATATAGCGTAACAGATGTGAGCGAGGACCGCATTATTTTCTGTTACACAAAGGGTCTTTCTTTCCCCCGCTGTAGCCAGACACCAGTCCAGTCCTGGGCAGGCTTGGCCCCCGAGCCTGGTCGAGGGGAGTGCCTTCTGCCCTTTTCCGAGCACTGGAGCCTCAGTTACCTTCTAGCAGACTTCCTTAACCAGGCCCCATGAACAAGTGCCTGTGCCTAGACTCCGGAGAGACCCAGGAGCGCCCGAAGGCTGAAGGCGACGCCCATGCCAAGAAGTTGATCCACAAGACACTGTGCACGCTTCTCCGTGGAGTGGCTTCACTTGCCCCCCTGGGTCCACAGCTGAGAAATGTTAAGCAGCACTGACGAGATATACGCCCTCCGTGGCAAGAAGCCTGAACTACAAGACACTTACTGTACTTAGGTAAAGATCCAGTGATCTTAAGGTCTAGCACTCAGAAAGCAAACGAACAAAACCAACACACACCCAAACCCAGATCACGGCTGGCTGATTTCATTGCTTTGACACAGCACCCAACGTATTTCCAGGGCTGCGCCTCAAAATGCTCGTGCCGGTCACCAGTTTCCTCCCAGCTGTGGCACTGAATCTTCTTCTCCTGGAGACGGGAGGCCACATTTGGTCGTCAAACTCCCTCAATTTAAAGGATCTCTCAGGAATTCCAGGGTGACTGGCTCTTCCCGCCCTCCCAGTCCTGCTGTTTGTCACAGGCCCTGACCTGTGAGCTGGAGCGTGCCTTACGGAACGGGACCTCCGGGCCGGCACAGCATTAGGGTCCCAAGTGTAATTTAAATGTACAATTCTGAGTGATTTGAATACAAGCAGCACGCTAATTCTGTTTGCAAACTGTCCTCTAAAGTGCCTTACTCAGTCTCAGGCTGCGACTCAAGAGAAAGGTGGTCTATCATTAAAGCCTAGAATATAGAAATTTCACTTGATCTCACATGAATGGACCCAGTTACTAGACTAAAACTGATTCCGTTTCAACTTCTTTGGGTAGTCTTCATTTCTAACATTACTGGGATCTTCTTAACTTTGGGATATTCTAATTTGTCCTGCAGTTTAATTTTCCTTTGAAAAAGGAACCAAAGTCAAGGTTTAATGTGGTCCTTTGAGATGAAACATGTTAATAGACTACAGAAGGCTCACTGAAGGGTGCCCAGGCTCATGTCCCCCTTTTAGGTTATAGGATCAAATATAATACTAAAAGACTAAATGCTTGTGGTTCTTTTGTATATATTTAAAACACACAATAGGAACATAAGAACATCTAAAATCATTTAGAAGAAAAAAGGGTTATCAACCAAAATCTTTGGAAATTTCATAAAATTTAAATATCTGCAAACATTCCAACCAAAAAGAAAAAAACTCCAACATTTGGCTATGGAGGGCACTTCACACGTGAACCGAATGATGTTTCCCATTTCCCTTCAGGTGATGTGGTCACCAAGCCCCACTGGAAAGAACACAAGAGCAACGGTGGAGACGTCCAGCATACACCGCGTGCTCGACCAGAACCTTCTGCTACGAAGCGCTCGCTCCCGCGGGCCTTCCTTCCGTGGAGACATCCCTGCACATTTCTACAATGCAACGCTGAGACAGCCTCCACGTTCTGCAAAGCAGACTGATGTCCATTCCACAAAAATATTAACTTACAGTACATGACACTGAATAATTTTAATCTGTACATTTTTTTCCTTCCTACAATAGGTGGCACACATCAGTTTGTACAAGTTAGAAAAAAACACATCTGGTTGTTCACATCTGGATTAAGCCAAAAGAGGTCAACCAGAAGTAGTGGGCTGGGTATAGTTTGAGAAAGTATAAATACAGTGTAATAGTAATTGTGGTTAACAATATTCAGCTCTTAACAAAGTGATACAAAATCAATCATCTTAGATTTCTGACTGCAAAGATCTGGCTGAGAAGGTTCTGCCAAGCAGCCGGCCAACTGATCCCAAGGTTAAGGCTGACTCGCCTTAGCAACTGCAGCAGGGCCAACTGCACGGCGCCGGTCAGGGCTCCTCAAGGGCACGGCTTCAGTGCCACGCGCACGTTAATGCTACTCCTTCAATCAGTTAATCCTCTAGGCAGTTTCCTTTCTGTTCTGCATGCATCCCGTTCCATTTCCATTAAGGGCATCGCTTCCTTGGCCAATCGTGTGCTTTGCTTTTTCAATTTGTTTTTGTGATTTTTTGGGTCTGTTCTATCTGTTAAGCTGTCAGTACCTCCAACACTCGGAAAATGAAATATAGATGTGGTTTAACTTACAGAAGAGACCAGAGCTGTGTGGACAATGCAGAATGGAATGAAACAAGTGAGAAACGGTTTATAAAAATGGCACATTTATTGCTACAGAACGGTCATGTACATGACTTCATCGAGTAACTACAGATGGGAACAGGTACGGCCTCGCCCAGGCTGGGCTTGTTTTGTCTTGAAGGAACTCAGCACACAACCTGTTTGGACACTTCTACAAATCAGAAATACACCAAAAACATGAAAAAATCGAGGCACTCAGCCACACATTGAAAACAAGGTGTAACTGTTTATCTTTTTTTTTGAAATGTTTTCCCTTTTTTTCTTTTTTTTAACAATTTTTTTTTTTTTTTTTAGTTTTTAATGCTGCAGCTATGTGTACAGTCGCAAAAAATTTCCCCGCTGCGACCTACAACTAAAAAAAAAAACAACAAAAAAACAAACGAAACAGAAAACAAACAAAAAAAGCTACCATACAGTTTCATCTCAGTAACACATGGTAAAATAACATCTTTTAAATAGTAAAATAAAGTAACAAACTTTTACTCATAATGATTCCAAAAATCTACAAAGAAGAAATATTCAGAATCTGACAATTTTTTTTGTAACATTCATGGTATAAAAGGATTGCTCCTACGAAAAATAAGCCAAATATATTTTTTATTTTTAAATTTAGTTTTTTTTCTTACTAGGGTGTACTACAGTCTATTTTATAGCAAAAAGAGCACTAGACAAACAAAGCTTTATAACAAAAAGCCAGGCACTGATACATGGTAAATCTCTGCTTTTTTTTCTTATCTTCACTTAATTGCATCACAAGTAACAAGAATGAAAAAGGCCACAGTTCATATATTCACCGTTACATGTCTATAATACTTGGAATGAGGGGGGCAAAACCAGCACTCACGAAGATGAGTCCACTTCAAGTCCCGTGGGAAGAGCGTCTCTAAAGAAAAGCAAAACCAAAGCGAAACAAAGAGCGGCCTCAGGCCCGCGCCCACTGTGTTGGGATTCACCGCGTTCCATCTTGACTTTTTTTGTTTCCAGTCAGCCAGCAGACTAAATTTTTGTGCTTGTTTATGCTGAAAACGTTTCATTCCTGACTCAAGTTCACTTTTGGACACAGATCATGTTCTGCCTGTTGGATCCAAGACGAAAATCCTCTTAACCCCAAGTCTTGGTTCAACTCCCACCCCGACCCCGAACCCCTCATCAGAATAAAGATCACAAATTAAAATATAAAATAAGAAAATCAAGAAACAGGAAAAAAGCGAAAAAGAGAAAGGAATCGGAAGACTGACCAGACCAGGTGCGTCGCCGGGAGGACTGACGGTCGCATACACATTAGTGTTCCCCGCAGGACACAGAAGACAAACGGTCACTCTGGGAGGGAAGGTCCCTGCCTGCACGCTCAAACTGCTTCAATGTGGAGGTGGATCGGCCGCTCCCAGGCGCTCCCGCGTCCAGTCCCTCGACAGACCCGGCCCACGCGCCGTCCTGTAGACAGCGGAGGAAGGGCCCTACGCACGTCTGTGGAGCTCTTTAATCCTAGCTGCCTTCCGCTAAACGCCATTCGAAAAATCCAGCACAGGATACCAATATCTTACCTGGGTGTGACAATTTACAAAACAACGAGAAACACACTAAAAAGGCCACATTCCCTTTCACCTTTTCCTCCTGTCTCGAATGGGGAAACCACCCAGTTACTGTGGGTAGGTGCAGACCATGTTTCTCCACCAAGCAAAAAGCAGCGAGCAGCTTTCGGTGGCCCTTAGAAAGTTTTCCGCTCATTTCCGAAGGGAATTCAACAATAGAGGTATCGCATTACCGAGTAATGAATACATCCAAGCTGGTGAGCAATACATTGCAGCTTTTACTGTTTGAGAACGAAATATAAAGCACCAATTTAAAAAATAATCAAATAACTACCATTTAATTTTTTGCTCTGCTTACAGATTTGAAAACCTTTAAATCAGCTCTAGTAAGCACCTTTATGATACATGTATCAAAAGTGCCATTCTTAAAATGTACATCAATGCAGGGAGTGTTTCCAGTTCCCTAACGAGTAAACACCGTGTTTCCTCTACACTTATCCTGAATGTGACAAAGCATACCTGCTTCCTAGACACTGTTCCTAGGGATACCCGCCTTGGTAGACTACACAGAGGGAGTGCAGAGTGTACCACTGAAAGGAAGTCTTTACACACCGAGGGAACAGACACACATGGTTTCCATCATTCAGAGGAGGGGGCGTGCACACTGTCTCCCATGCCCTTCCTTGAGCCTCTTTGTTCATACATGTCCCAGGAAAGCCTCAAAATAACTTTTCATGAAGTCTGATTTCTGCTATTTCTCTTAAGGTTTTAATCCACCTCCACATTTTAGGAACTTACCAACAAATCAAAGTATTTTAGTTTTATCACTACTGAACATATTTACAGTTTTCAACACACACACAGCTAATCAAAATGTTTATGGGTTTGTAAAAGATGACCACGTGGTAACTATCTTATTTGTTCTTACATTTTCAGAAATGAACATAAAATTCAGATTCTTTTAGCTCACTATTTCATTTAAATGAGACTTTTTTTTTTAAACCACACAGTTTAAAAACAAAAACAAATACAATGTATTAAAACACATAATAACAAGAGTCTACGTGTAAAAATATAACTTTTACATACACAATTTCAAAATAATGATACGTTTGCTGTTTGTTGCATAAAATTTACAAATGTATTTCATTACTATATAACTGGCAAAACAGGAGGACAGATGGAACATTTAGACCATTTTGATGGATTTATGGCATTTACTCAGTGCTGATAGGTGGAAAAAACTACTTGAACAGGGATTTTTTTTTTCTTAATACATGCCAAGATTGTGTGGCTGCAAAAATAGAAACGAGTTAGAGACAAAAGGATGCTGACAAATACTTAACTAGGAGCACTATTTGTTTACTGCACTATACACCAAAGTCAATCATTATAAAGATTCACGATGGAAGTTGGTTCAATTGTGCCCAGACGTCAAAGCTAGCTATCTGATGAGTTGCTGTGCCATAGCTTGATCTATGTTTCTATCAAATATGTTAAGTATAAACTTCATTCATACTGGCCAGAGAAATACTGCACTACCCCTCCTCAAGAAAGTGCAACTTAATGCTTTAGGACTTATAAGGCTTGTTATAATGCTGCATGATGATTGAATATTGGCATTTTTCAGACAAAGGAGGAGGCAGTTAAATCATCTACATCTTAGTAAACCCATTTTGAAAAAAAAATCAAGAAAGCAACAAAATCAATCAGCTCTGTCACACTACTTGCAATTTTCTTTGATGGTTTTTGAACTTTACTTTTTTTTGTTTTTGTTTTTTTCCAAAAATCTGACCATGTATTCAGAAACGCCTCACTGCACACTACTTCGGCTACACATGTAGGTAACACTTTAATCATTTTGTTAAATCACAGCCACTTTGATTATGTTATGTTTCCGATGATATAAACATTGGAAGGCACAGTGGTAACATTGTAGCATTCTAACCTTGTACCTCTGAAAAATCCCAGAAGAGGGTCACACACGCAACATTACAATTCAGACAAACTCCTTTTGCCATGTCTTAGTAATGCTGCTTGTAATATCTACACATGATGTGACTTTTAAGTCCTGTGTTCCCAAAAGACTGGAGAAACAACTTTCTACTTATTTATGAATGGAAAGCAACATCAGGGTCAGCATTTCATCCTGCACTACCACCCCTCCGGAAGCAGAGTTGGCACTACAGGTTACGATAACAAACCGGGAAGAAGGGACAGAAATAAGACCCCCCCCCAAAAAAATCCGTATTTACAGTAAAATCTTTCTTTTAAAAAAGTTAATCAGTACTATTTTTTTACAGGAGAAAAAAGTCTGAAACAAATGAACAAAAGCTTACCATAGTCACTAAATTTTTAATATATATTTATATATATATTTATATATATATTTGTCATAGGTCTATAAGATCCATCTGTTCCTCCTACCCTAAGGAATGGCTAATGTCATCACCTCGCTGTCATCAGGACGTTTGCTGGTTTTGTTACTAGGGCAGCCGAGCTCCCTCACTCGCTATCCAGTAATTACAAACACAGCTGACTCGAATACCAACGAAAACGTTCGTTCATGTAGTTTGCTTCAGAAGTACACTTTTTCATTATTGCAAGTTTACAATTTTTAAATTAAATATTTTTTTCAGACTTACAAATTAATTATATTTTTTTTTTCCAAAAGAAGTTTAGGCACAAATGCATTGTTCCACAGTGTGGAAAGATTGCCGTTCAGTCTCTGGGCTGCGCCCCAGCCTGCTCACACCGCCTTGCACGTTCTGAGTGATATGTTAGAGAGGCATCCCTCAAGCTGCACTTTTTTCTTTCTTTTTTTTTTGTTTGTTTTTCGGTTTTTTGATAATTGGGAATGCTGAAACCTCTTGCGTCTGCGATTCGTAACTACTCAGACTTGTCTTATATTACAAAAAAAGGGGTTAAGGAGAAGTGTTTATGTGGGTTTAAGATAATACAGCTGTTACGGAAGTGGTCTCTTGTATTAACGAAGCAACGTGGCAGCTTGGACCTGAGGAGGAAAGGAGAGAGGGAAAGTAATTAGCACCCCGGCAGCAGAGAGGAAATGCTCTTTCTAAAGTCCTCTCCACGGGGAAGATCCGAGTCTGGGGAGGGGCCGCGGCGGGAGTGCCAGGGAAGGTTCCATGGGGGGACGCACTTGCCCTTTCACATCTGTCCCATGTGGTTCGACGCGTCGCCCATCCCAGGGTGCGGGCCCGCCAAGGAGAGCGGGGGTGGCTCTGAGGACACCTTCTCCTCCTCCCTCCTTTTCAGACACGCGGCTTTCGGGTTCAGGTTTCTCTCTGGAAGATGGAAGCACAGGCGTTCGGTTATTGCCGAGCCGAGGCTGCTGGCAGAGGGCGGTGTGTTCCCTCCTGGGGGCCCCCTTTCTCGGGTTTACCCGACAGGGCAAGGGGGTAGTTAGGCGTGTGCGCTGCGGGGGCTCCTCTGACCATCTAGAGGCTGAAGTGCGCGGTGGCCTCAGAGCCCCTTTACAGTACAGGAGAGTCGCCACGCAAATGCCACGCTCAGGGCGCACTGCCGCAGCCCGAGTGGAGCGCAGGAGGCTCCTGTCGCTTACTGCAGGCGCAAGGGGCGCCGCCGCAGATGCAGACGCGGACGAGGACCGGCCTGCAACGGACACAACTACTCTGAGCGGTGCCAGTGTCCCCTCTGCCCCTGCTCAGGGCAGGCGAGTCCACCTGGGCTCCCTCCAGCTCCCTGAGACTCTGGCTTTGTAGGGCGCCCCTGGTGGGTACTGACCTCGGACCTGCTGCTCCAGGCTGAGGATGACGGCCACAGCCTGGTGGAGGATCAGGAGCTTGGTCTGCGGCTTGTCACTCTTGAGGTGGAGCTGCACCATGCGGCCCAGCTCCTTGAAAGCCTCGTTGATGTCCCGGACCCGCAGGCGCTCGCGGGCGTTGTTGGCCATCCTCCGCTCCTTCTCACGCTCTGCCTTCTGCTCCGGTGTCAGGTCCTCGTCGTCATTATTGCTGCGGGACAAAAGGGACGCGGCATTTTCTAATGGTGTGGGGGAAAGAAGGTATCGAAATTATCTTTGCTTTCTTCCAGAGTATTCGCGGAACGTTTCCATCTCAAGCTCTGTCCTTAGTAGAGTTTTACATGCACTTGAGCTGGGGACTGCTTTGGATGGCTGTCATGGCCCCTCGATATTAAACCCAAACCAAACAGGAGAGGTTAAAGTTTGGGTCCAGAGTGTGCCCGTGACGATTCAGGAGGCGACACCCTGCAGAGCAGGCCAGTCACCTTCGGCTGGAGCCACGTCGCATGACCACAATTCAGAGTCAGACTGAAGTTTCTTTTTAAAGTTTCTTTTTAAACTTTCATATTGTGACACCTGAGACTTAAGGGAAGTGACTGCGAAGCATTCTGACTGATGGTCAACCTGAGCATAACGCAACCAAACAGGGTTAGGAAAAGGCCCTACACTGACGCTGCCAGAGCAGTGGGGGAGAAGACCTTTGTCCAGGCCTCACCGTTAGTTTGCTTTAAAGGCCTGGTCATTCCACTTAATGCTTCTGAGTCTCATTTTCTCCCCGTATAAAATAAGGTTAGAAAAACACGATCTCCGTGGCCTTTAACATTATGGATGTTTATGATCTAAAAACAAGTTAGGGAAACCTGAGTTGACATGAGCTACGTAAAACAAACAAAACAAAACAAAAACTGAAGATCTACCCATCAGAGCTTGTGACTCACTGTGAGTCAAAAATGAAGCCAGGAAGCTAATCTCTAATTGTGAGAACAGAAAATGCTGGCGATTCATATCAAAGGCATGGCTGGACCCTGTAGGGTCCGGAAAGGCAAGATTACTTCTGTTTGTGGGTGTCATGCTGACACAATAGAAGAAACTTCTGAAAGGAGGGCAAGTAAGATGATGGGCCACCTGGAAAGCAGAGCATAAGGCAGGCTTCAGAGCATCGGGGCCTCACCTTGGGCGATTATGTAAAAGAGAGGCGTGGGCGATGTCTCGTGTCAGGAAGGCAGAACTCAAAGAAGAGCTCCCAGTGGATTAGTTTGATTTGATATGAGCAAGAGAGTTTTGGTCATGAGAGAGATCAAAGGTAAAGTAAACTTCACCCAAAGTAACGGGCTCTCCATTAGGAAAAAACGAGACAGAGATGACTGTCTGAAGGACACTAACTTAGATTCAAGCATTGCTCAGGAGAGCCATGAAGGCTGACCTCTACTTCAAATGCCACGAATCTGCATGTTCCCAGGAAAAGGTGTTAATCACAGCGCTTCAGAGCTGGAGGACATGTGGGAAGTTTCTGAGTCAAGACAATGTACACTTAATGAAGTTGGCTTAAACTATATTCTCCGTGTTGGAGAATCTCTGGGTAACTTCCAAAGTGCAACAAGGATCAACTGTGGTTGCGGAGCCCCATCAATCAAGAATGGCCGTGATATCCTTGGTTGCAAGCACATGTTGCACATAAAGATGGCCTATGTGAGCCAAGAACACTTGTAAGGGAGGGGAGGAGGGAGACACCAAAGACACAGACTGCCAGACTTGGCTCATCTCCCCAAAGGTTGAACTCCCTTCCAGATGGGACTGTCTGCTGTGGATGCGTGCTAGTGAACACACCAACCGAGCCAGTCGGAAAAGGCGCTGCCATCTGATCCCCCCGACTTCCTCTGCTGATCCTTCGGAAATCAAGCTAACTATTAATTCACGTCCACATTCCACTACACAGATAGGATATAATAAATGAAAAGAGAACAGAGTCAAGTTTCTGCTGAGCCTGTCCTGAAGTTAAAAATTGGGGGTAATATTTTTACATATCAAACATGTGCCATACCTTTCAAAGGGTGGGCCTGAAAATGGGAAGTGTTTTCCAAAGGTATTCAGGCTAATGATTAATCAGACTGGTTATGCAAATAGACTGCCTCGGTCTGAAAAGCACTGCCTCACAATACAGTTTTGGAGACATGAGTCAATGTTATAAGAGTGGCCTTTTAAGATATGAAGGTTCTTAACAGCAAGTTAAAATGTTGTAGGGAAACTTGCATAAGTTATGGTCACTACTTGAGTTACCCAGAACTGACTGGGCTAACAGAGGATGTAAGCATGTGAAAGCCCCTCCTGGGGATCTCTCACCAATGTGGCCAGGAGTCAGGAGACCGTAGTGATGGTGAAAGGTATAAGCTAGGGGCTTTTCATGTTTTTGGAACTTGTGGTAGGACATGCAATAGAATTTATCATAATAATTATAAAGGCGATATGAAAAGGTGGCATGTTCTTAATTCCTACAGGACACTAGATACAACCTTGAGAACAACAAACAGCCTTTAAAAGGAAGGTGTAGTCTTAGTACTTTTCATTTGCAAATCAAAACCACCCAATGGAATTGACATAAGGAATACGGGTGGCACCGTATTAAAAAAAACCTGGTATCAGATTAGAGTCAAAGTTCAAGGAGATAGATTCTAATTTAAAAATACTGAATACTGTATTTAAGAAAACCAACCAGAAGCTATTTTCCTGCAGTTGTATTTTCTATAGGAGGGAGAGAAAAAATTTGCAATTTAGGTGTTGTTTTATACACACACACACACACACACACATCAACATGTTTAGGATAAAGCTGGGAAATCAGTATTTTCTCACTTTTGAGGTAAGAAAAACATTATAGTTGCATATACATCAATTGAGTTTTCAATATCACCAAGATCCCTTTTTAGAAATATTTTAGAAAGAATACTTCTGACCAAATTTGTAGAGTAAGTATAGTTTTAAAAATCAACTCTTCATATTTGAGTTGAGTCCATTACAAATTGTTTTTACCGTGTGTAATTAGCCCTGGGTCCAAATTCACAAATGCACAGACATTTCAGGCACCACTAGAGTGCAGGTATCTTAAACGACACGCCAGCAACTCTAGAGCAGGCCTTTAAATTTCTTTTCAGCTGCAGATTTACCTGCCAGGAAAAAACTGAATAGTTTCTTCCTGTTCTGTTCACTTCATCAAAGTCCAATAAAGGAATTAAATGAAGCGACAGTATTATATACTGTTACCTAGATCTTGACCTAGTAATTGATTTGATATCCTTCTTGTCGTCATCTAATTTCTTGTCCTCGGAAGATTTCGTGTCTTGCAGGTTCTCATCGCCCTCATCGTCGGATTTGATCTCAGAGCTGCCGGAGGAGACGCTCTGGCCCTGCAATCCTGGTGGCATGCCTACAGAAAAAAGGAGACCAGGTGACGTTTCCACCAAAGACTTGATGCACAAACGCACACCCCAGACTGCAGAGCTGCGAGCTACACAGTTCATACTGCTCAACTGTGATCCTTCTGTCACTATTTTTTTTTTTGGTGCTACCTGGTGAAGTTTCAAAAATGCACCTGCGGAAGCAAGTTTTCTCTGCATTGGCTCGGGGGTTAAATTCTATTTTGCAATCTTTTGGAGTAGATGGTAATTTCACTGTCTACAAAACATCAACTTAATTGCAATGAAAATCATAATCATGAAAATCACACACCTCAATGTTCTGATTAAGAACCCAAGTAAATATCAGCTATTATATTGAGTTTGTTCCATATGCAATGATTTAATAGAAAAATGTCCTTAAAGTATAATTCCCAGGGAGTACGCTAAATATGTACAGTCAAGACTTCAATAGATACCCTAATGATATTCTGAAATTAGGATTCTCTTATCCTCAAAGAGTAATCAGCATTTAAAAATGGCACATACGGAAAGCAGATAGCTGCTCGCTGAAGAAATTTAGAGCTTTCTTATTGCTCAACTTTCAAGACCATAATACATTTTACAACTTGACCCTAATGTAATCATTTATTTCTAAGGCAGAAGCATGTCTATTGATGACTGCCCTCTATTTGCAATCTGTGGTCTAGAACCCTGTCATTCAAAATTTGGCCCATGGGGCAGGAGCATCCCTGCCATCCAGGAGCCTGTTAGAAATGCAGAATCCCACACCTACTGAGTCAGAATCTGCATGCGAACAGACCTCAGGTTTAAAGAGTGTTGATCTAGGATGGAGAAAGAAAAACTAAAGGCTCTTTAACAGAAAGGTCCTTCACATTATTAGTATTTAAATAAAAATGGGGAGGCATGCCCATATAAAGTTAACACTCAGATTAGTACAATGTTTAAAAGGGTGAAAAAATGCTCATTGCATATTCCTGTGGTAGTGCTATCATTTTTATTCTAAATATGAGGGGAATGAGGAGATGTTACTTAAGTGTTTCCTGGTCACCTGGTCAGTCAGTCCCACAGGGAGCGTCTGACAGAACAATGTCCCGGGGTCATGAAAAGCCCACTATGGTCAGTGGTGTGAGGCAATCCTTACGGGGCTGGATGACTCAATACTGAAAATCATCCAACCAAGTTCCATTTTTAAAAATGTACCTATATTTCCTCTAATCTTCAATGACAAAAACAGTTCCCTTCCTTCCTGTTCATTTGGAAATATCATTTTCAGGCTACAAGTAACCACATTAGAGGACCTGAATACGATGTGGAAATAGCTAAAATAAAATTTCCTCTCATCAGTCTGTTGTCTCGGTCCCTGCTGAAATGGTACCAGGATTTCAGAGGATGTTTGAAGAAAACAGCTACTGAAGAAACACAATTAGCCAGCTATGTTCTAAATACTTTCCCATTTACTTACCATTTTTGTACCAAATTTGATTCTTGGTTTTCTGCCAGTGCTTCCTGAGGGATGAATGCCAAGTAAGCTGGGGATCCGCACTAGCTCTACTGCTAAGCGAGGTCAGAGTGCCTGGGGCGGACCTACCTCTGTAGGGGTCCTGGGGTGGGTTCAGGTCAGGGGAGGTTGCCGACTGGACAGGGAGCTGCGGGACCGGAACCTGGTTTGGCACAAGAGAATGGCTGCCTCTCAGGGCCACGCTGTCTTCGCGGTGGGCCCCAACCTGCAAGGGGAGAGGACCCATAGGGTTCAGTGGGAAGCAGAGGTGAGCCAGCGCTTTCCTGGGGTAGCAAGCACCTGATGAAGGAGCACCGGCCTTTGCGAGACAAAACTCCCAAACGCATTTCACTAGAGGGCGCTGAAGGACCGCACATACACCTAGAGTGCCCCGCACAGCCACTTAACACTCAGCGAGATGCTGTGCCGTGCATCCAGTGACAAACATGGCAGAGGAGCTCAGGCAGGTAAAACGTCAAACTGTCTCCCAGGGTGCTGCAGCGGAGCGCACTGATTCGTACCCATCTGTCTTCTATCATGTCCGCCAACAGATCTGACAATTATCTTAATGCCCATATGCTTAATTGTGGGCTTCTCAATTCCCCCATTGCTATCGGAAATCCTACAGGAATTTCAATTTGGCATTCGACTTTCATTTCAGGGGATAAGATTCTCAGGCCTGCCATTTTTTTTCCATAATGCCAGCTAAGCCTGTGACAGCGGAAGCTGCGGCAGTATGGGACGCAGCCCCTGCTCGGTACAAATATAATAAAATGTCACCTGGCTTTCCAAAACTGGCAGCCCATTCCAAATTAATGTTTACTGTATTTCATCGGCTGCTGAGTTCCAAATCCAAAGGGGGACCGTTGCTGCCAATGCCACCACACCGGAAAATGTACCAATAAAGGTTTTATTAAACACACCAGTAATGCCATCATTGCCATGCAAAGATGTTTGGACATTTTTCCACTTTTTTTCACTATTCTGATCCTAGGAAGACACCATATTGTAAACACTCTTTATGCTTCCAAGAATATAATTATAGAGTACAGCACGATGACTTGGTCTGAAAAAAAGCTGAGCTTTTTATTAACTACTACTACCTGCTGCGGGCCCGGAGATGGAGAGCCCGGGGCATCGAGACAGCAACGGCCGGCTTTAGAGCGCTTGCTGCCCTACCGCAGAGCCACGAAGCTTCCGCAAACTACGAGGAACCTGAGTAGCTGCATTTCTGTTTGCATTTCCAACTAAGTATTTTCTTAGCTTGCTGTTAGGTGAACATTTACACAGGACAATGAGTCTAACACTGAAAATATTTATCCATGAATTTAGACTGCTATAAATAAAAAAAACTTGAATTTTTTCCAATCCAAAATATAAAGCCACAGAGGAGAATCTTCGCTTTGACTACCAAATGTTTAAAAAGAGAATTTCCACAGGATGCAACAACGGTAAGAACTGAACTGAAGACAGTAGCATTCGCAGACCTGAACAGAGCCCATGCTAGCTAAAGGCAGCCTGGTAGCAAGCTATCGCCTTTACAGACTCAGGAACAATACAGAAAAAAATAATTCAGGATTGGGAGGAAGGGTCAATAAATCATACTAATTGCTCAGATTCAAAATATAGCAAGAATAGTACAGGATTCAAAGACTTGTGAGCATCATGAAGTATAAATTAATGTTGTAGGTAAAAGATCCAACGAGACCATGCTGTGCCCATGTCTTTTTCTGGATCACTGTGAATGGTGGTTATTTAGTTTCTGTGTGTGTGCAGCCAATGTGCTGAGACCCTGATGATCTCCCAAAGCTGTCCATTCCACTTTCACCACAAGTAGGTCTCCTTGCACATCCCACCACTGGTCCTAGTGTCAGCTTCTGGAGTTCCATGGAGTGAGTGTAAGCCCTTCTCACATACGGACACCATGCCCATGCTACTCCATCTTTCACCTGGAACTCAGGCCTGTGCTCTGACAGGCAGACCGTGCCCACGGTTCGTCCAGCCAATCCTCACTCACTGATGGTATATGTTTTTATTTTCCCTTCCAAACAAAGACTGACAGCTATTTGCCATTCCAGTTTAGATATGCCATTTTTATATTTGGGCATTTTCCAGACAGATTGATGACTATCCTTTCGGTCTAAGATGTCAACTTGTAAGCCTGAATTTTACAGGCCTTGATCAAAAAGGTCACTTTTTAAATCTCTCAATGTTAACCTAAATAATTACCTTAGTGTTGATTCGTATTTATTGGTGTTTCCAGCAGATTTAATTTCTTGGATTTCCACAAAGGAAGATCTAAGTTAGAATCACTGAAGGTAGCCACATATCTGAGCATAGCAGAGATGCACATTCCTTCTATTTTAGAATCATTCTATTAAAACTTTCAAGCCTTCTTTGTAGGCATCTATGATGTAATTTAAGGTTATAGTTTGCTTTTCACTTAAAACATAGTCAGACATTGATCCTGAAATTTCTTTTTTCCCTTCTGGATCACACACTGAGTTTAGTTTTTACAAGAGAAAAAAAGAACTCACAACCAATTACCTTTATATTTTCTTTGCCTCAACTATTATGAAAGACAGAGTAACTGAATGAAAAGATTCCAATAACAAGAGTCAACAATATCTAGATTCTAAGTGTAACTGGTTTTTTTAATAGCATATAACCATGGGTGAGTTCTAAATCCAAAATGGAGAAAATAATGCTAGAAGTTTTAGAGAATAAGTTCTATGTTTATTACAAGAAGAAGCAATATGAGAAACAACTGGCACACAATAATAACAGATGCTGTTCTGTGTTCTGACCGAAAATACCTGCATATTACAGAAAATAAGGGCCTATGTAGTTCGGGAACCCTCAGAACTCAACCCACCCTCACTTACGATCATCTCTGCACTTTTATCTCAATTTTATTTACATCCATTTGATTTTAAATCTTTCTCCTGCACAATGACAGTAAATCTTAAATGTTATTATTATAAATATGTTTGAGAATATAGTTGTTCTGACTATGTTTTTGTTTAGATTGAAGCCATACATGTTACCTAATTTTATATATTTTCTACAGATCATTTCAAATCATCTCAAGAAATACATAAATTATTTTCTATAAAGGAAGCTGGGGATGAAGTTATCCTAAATGTTTCAAGGCCTTCCTAATAAACTATGTGTATTCCAGGTCAAACGAACAACTGATGACAGTCCAGATCCATGGTAATGAGTTTGAGTCTCCAGGATCAAGTCCAAGCCTCTGGCTGTCAAATAAGATTCTAATCTGAAGAATTAGCTTTGCTTTGCATGTTTCCTTAACCACAAACAGCATGTCTTATTTACTTCTCTTTCAAAAACATTATTTCTGGTCACATAAAAGACAAGGAAAGAAAGACAAGAGATGGCCAGCACAAATCCATCACTAGGGAAACTCAGAAACAGATGGAGGAACCAACACCACTATCTGTATGACAGGGTCAGGATTCACCCACTTTCCATATAATAAATACAAGATAATGTCACTAGAAAAAAGCAGATTCCTTCAGCCTACAAATAAAATCTAAGGATGGTGTTTTAAATTTTTTTTTAAAGAAAATTCATACTTCATCAAAGCCTTATTTTGATAACCTTTTTACCTAGATAAGCAATAGTTCAGAGTTAAAAGCCAGCCTATGAAAACAGTTCATTTTATTAATACTGATTGTAAATTTTTTGCAGTCTTTAGGAAGAACCTTCTTAGAGTCATATACAATGTGGTTTTAGACATATTTATGCTAAAAGTAAAAGATAGAAATAAAATCTAAAAAATATTCAAGAATTGTTAATTGGTCAAAGTGTACGTTTATTAATTCAACAAATATTCACTCATCTAGTCCATGCTCGTCACTCTGTGAGGTGCTGGGGACACAATGGTGAAGAACCTGGATGTGGCCCCTTCCTTGTGGAGCTTATAGTGGTCCTTGTGGGATTTTTGTGCCCTGATCAATTTAATGTGGCAGTTTTAATAGTAAGAACCAGAACCTCATTCAAGATGCAAAAGTGACAGCTATCAAGGGGGAGGGTGGTTGGGGGGCTAGGTGAAAAAGGTGAAGGGATTAAGCAAAAACAACCCCCAAAACTCATAAACACTTGCCAACAGCATGGTGATTCCCAGAGGGGACGGGGTGGGGGAGACGGAAGAGGGGAAGGGGGATAAACGGTGACGGAGAGAGACTTGACTTCAGGTGGTGAACACACAGTACAATGTACAGATGATGTTATAAAATTGTACACTTGAAACCTATATAATTTTATTAACCAGTGCCACACAATAAATGCAATAAAAAAAGATTTATCATGAAGATTTCTGTACTTTAGGTTTGGGACCTAGAAAACTCTCAGGACCTAAGGCTGGTCTCTCGTGAGCGATCCCAGCCTCTCTCCTCCCTCTGCTGCTACCTCTGTTTCTCTCCGACTTCTGCTCCCTCAGGATCCAGCTGGACTCTTCCTTCATGGTCTCTTGGGGTGCATTCTTCAGGTCTGTGCCTGCTGCTAACCCCCTCTCTGGCTTAGTATTTCTGAGCTCAGGACGTCAAGATCATCTGATGGCCCAGCTCATCCTGAAGCAGACATGGGCCATCCTTTGAATGGGCCACCCCAGGATCATGTGATCTCAGCCCTGCCGACCATGGCTGTTATGTGCAAATATCTAGATTACATTTCACCTTAGCTCAAGTTATATTCAAGCTGAAACACTGCTATTTAAATTCTCCTGTGCTAATTTACCATTGGGAATAATTAAATAACTTTAGAAGTGCATTACTTCTTTTGAATCTGTATGCGCCAGGTAATTTTAAATAACCTTACTTTCTGAGGATGAGACTGATATATCAGAAGCACTTTCCAATCATAGCATATAGAATTTAAGGGCTTGAAGAGACTTGGAAACCAGTTAGGCCAAATTCCTCATCCCACAGAGAAGCAAGCTAAGGCCAGAAATGGTTAAGTGACTTAGTGAACAGCCAGTTAGAGACCTGAAACAAATTTTGAACTCAGAAAACTTGTAATATTGAACAATTTGATTGGGTATATATTCAGGGTGGGGCAAAAGTAGGTTTACAGTTGTTCATATGGAAAATAATACAAAAATCAATATACAAGAATACAAGAATAAACCCTGTGTTTTGCCTACTCACAACCGTAAACCAGTCTCCGTATAGATTTAAGGGACAAAAGGGTTTACTTCCTGGAGCT